AATTATTAACGTAATTCTGACGATGTAGTAAATGTAGCACTTTCAGCGTCATGTTGCACTCTATTACCAACACTCAAGAGTTATATTTGTTCGTTTATATTTTGGCATGCAGTGAATTCGATGCGGTTTCGAAATAACACGCATGTTGATCAAGATTTGGTTTTGCAATTAAAAGTTCTGTATTCGGTACATATGCGTATTTTTGATTGATGTTTGAGGTGCATTTATGGAATGAGTGTTATGTCTATATATTTAACTGAGTAGATGCAATGGAGATATTACAATTAGATCATGCGATTCTACAAAACACTGTAGCGTATCTGAAGGGCTGATTAATCTACTGTCACTAATAAAATCAGGTATGATCTCGAATTTGACCGATCAATCCAGCGAGCCTGGCAGATCTTTCAGGGCAAAACTTCTAAACTCTTTATTGTGGACTGATCATTCTGGGATTCTTCTAGTTCCTAGCTGTCTATGGATAGCTATGGATTTATATTGTTCCAAAGAAGTTTTAATCCAAAAATAAAAGTGTTCCGCGATGGCGTTCATTTTCGAAAAATTGAATATAAATAAAAAAATATATATAAAAGATTTATATTGGACAAAATGTTTTTCTAGTAGAGGTTGTTTCAGGGAGTACGTTTATTTATTAATGAAAAATTATGTTAATAATATTGTGAATTCGAACAGCGATTGTGGAGATTAAGCAATTTGCTGTGGTGTTGTCCTTTCTTGATCCCAGGTCCTTAGGTCAAAAGCGAGGATGCATCAGAAGGATTTAGTGGACTTTCAGTAATTTTTATTCAGTAAATAAAGTGTCTAATTATAAACTTAATTAGCGTTAATTGTATATATATGGGAGTATAAAATAAAATAGTCACATATTACTTTTAAATGTGTTATATTTTGATTCAATAAATTACTCACATAACATACCTTTTTACAGCTTACACAATGATAAACAATATACAAAGACCCATCTATCCACCATTCATAAGTTAATTTAATTATTTGTACCTAAAGTATAATTCTCTCTACAAAAATGTACAATGTCAATGACAATAATAATATTAAATAATATTTTCTTCGCTTTTAAAAACACATACGAAAATTAAAAAAGTCATAGTCATATTTAACGGCACATAGCATACAATCTAATTCATTTCGAGCGTGATCTATATAAAGTTCAAGTAAAATTAACTGCAATAATTTGAAATTTTATAGTATTCAATGCCTTATAAGGTGATCGCATATTGGCGCCCTAAAAGCGGGCGAAACGAATTTCGATAATTAAATTATTGAACAACCATTGCACTCTACATGTGTGTTATTGTTCATTTGTATACAAAGATTTCTAAAATTCCTTTCTCTCACTTCTTTCGGCGTGTTCCATCCTGATAGATATGCGACCACCTTTATTCTGCTAATATTAGCGTAATTATGGCGAGAATGATGTTTCGATGAGAACTATGTTTGACACAGTTCTTATTACTAGATCACAATATAAAATACATATCTGTCACTGTTTGTTTTCTGAAGAAAACTAATAATATTGGATATTGAGAGATATAGTACAATGGCAATTTGTGACCGTATTGAGGTGTAATTATTACTTTAATATTAGCTAAATGGAGGTCTTGATTTGCAGCTGTGTGGAACATAGCAGGGATTACAATTAATAAATTAAATTATTTCTTCGTCTATTATTTTCAGTAACAACATTCTGAATTTTAATTATCTAAATGAAAAATATTGATACATAAATAGTTTTTATGTGAATGGCATATGATTTCTAATTTAACTTCAGCACTGTCAAAATTAGGTAGTAACGAGATTCGTTTTAATATAAATCGGCCAAATAATTAAAATTGTGAAGTATAATATCTATTTTTTCATAGGAGATAATCACTAGGTGACGTACCTGAAAATTCGTAAATTTTACCATGTCTCCTGTAATTATAGCCTTGTTTTTTTTCTGGAAAATTTAATAAATCAGCTCTTCACTATTTAGCAGACGGTCTTAATGACCACTTTTACAAGCAATTATTTGGGAGTATTTGATTACAAACAGTTTTTCGTATCTTATTGATCAGCGCGTTGATTTTGTCTCGTTTTGTCTTTTTACGACTAGCTTTATAATCTGATAAGTTTCTTTTGTCTCATTCTTGTTGTCAATCCAAAGACCTCCTAAATGGATGGCAGGTAAGAAATATTGGACGATACAATAGTGCTTGTAATAAGCTCATTCGAATAACTAATACTTTCATTTGAAGAATTAAAAGATGTACTTTTAAATGAGAGTGTTTTATGAGGTTTTTATCTCAGTCGTATGTTTTTTTCATATTTCGTGTATTTGTACGATAATAGGTTATCGAGCGAAAGTATAGGTCGAATTTAATAAAATATTTTTTCTTACTTTTCCATATATGTATAGCTTTATATTGAATGAAATATTTTTTTAAATCTGTAAAGTGATTCTTGCTTTAATCCATTACAAGTAAAAGCTAATATTTCCCCTTTGTAATAAGATAGAATACTGATAAATGTAAGCGATATTAATTATCTTTATTAATTAAATAAACAACATTACTCTAACAGTGAAATTTGATGAGAAAGTCATAACTTATAAAGTACGCGTGTTACGTATCGTTGATCACAGACAATGGTCGCACGATCAATGGTCCATAACTCTATTACACCGCATAATTAGACCTCTGAAAGCCTCCGCGAATCCGCCATGTCATATTTTGATGCTTATAGGTAAAAAAAGCTCATATTTTACTAGCATTTTTTAAGATACATGTCAATATTGCATTATGGATACGTTTATCTATTAAATAAAATTACAGATTTAGTTCCAATTCTGAAACGGCTTGGCCGATTTTATATATATGTGTATTAATTAGGTCTGAGAATAGGTTGTTATCTGTTTTTATATCCCACAGTGTTAAGGGTGGTTCATCCTAAATTCATACGGCAATAAAACGTTTGCCGGGTCAATTAGTTGATTATAAGATTTAGTACAAATTTTCATCTTAATCGAATGTAAAAAAAAAATGTGGATTGGCCTGAATATTGATGAAAATAAGCTGACTGTAGCGAAACTATCAAATGCTTGAGAAATTCCATAACCCTGCTACGCGCTCATTGGTTAGAGCATTCGTCCGGATTGTGAAAGATTGTGACTTTTGTTTACTTCGAATGTTCACATAATACTTTGTGTCATTGTCCGTTTTTCGTCTACCCTATGTACAGAGTGTGCTTTTTAACGTGCATTAATATCCTGGAATAGGCACAGAGCATGCAATAACTTAAGAGCCGTAGCGAGTCGGCCATATTGTTTTCCTAATTGGCCCCTTATCGGCGGTCTCGCGTTGCAAACTTCATTAATTCCCATTATTTTACGACAAGAGATTGTGTTTCTTTCTGTGACTGGGTAAGTTCTTTAATGACAATTATGCAAATATATTTATGTGTAATACACTCCTTTATGTTGCGTATGCTGGAAATTATATACTCCAGTTTATTTTTTATTTTAATAAAGGTTGTAACGTAACAAAATGCACTAGGAAATTACACATAAAGTTATAATATCGTTCTGATGAGTTCTATAGCTATAACACATTAAATTATAATTCAAAATTAAGATAGAACTTCTTAGTTACTATTGCACTATTTTTATTTCAAATACGTAACATAAATGGCTTAATTTATTGCGAGCATTTCTGTGATTAAAAGTTTCCTGTTCAAATTAATATTTACAATGTTATCATCAAACTTCAGTCCTAGATATGTTAACGCCCTATCATGTAAGTGGTATATTAACGAGATATTATTACTTATCCTATCAATTAACGTGACATGTATAAGCTCGTACTCATTATGTACAGATGTGGATACTTAAAAACTTTGTATAGACTATATGATTAGCATTTATTTTTAATAATCTCAAATTAGCTACTTAATATCAATACAAATACATATTATAAAGAGGTAAAGATCTCTAACTTTGTTTGTTTGTTTGTAGGAGGTAATCTTTAGAAATTTTGATTCGATTATGTAAATTCTTTCACCTACGGGAAGCTACATCATACGCGGGTGATATATATAGGCTATAATTTACGCGGGCGAAGTTGCGGAGAAACAGCTAGTCATTTTAATTATAGGTAATCTATAAAATAAATGCTTTGTGGCTTTGTGAATTGCTTAAGGCTGGGCATAGAGACAAAAGATCGTCTCTCTCTAAATTGTGATAAATAAATAAATTATTGTCGGTAATGAGATAGATAAGGAGGATGGCAAATAACGTATATATGTTTTGTTTGTAATATGTGTTTCAATTGATTACACTGTCCGCCTGTCTGTCATTAAGCACCTCATGAACAGTAATAGTTACATAGGTGAAATTTTCGGAGGTGTATATGTATTTCTGTTGGCGTAATAAAAATGAATAATAAACACAGAATAAAAAAACGACAATTTTTCTTTTAATTGTTTAATGGTACGGAAATCATCGTGCGCGAGTTCGATTCGCACTTGGCATATAATGTAGATCAATTATGATATTGTACTAAGTTAAATTAAAAATTGAAGAACCTAAACCTAGTGCAATGTACTTCATCCCAAGGTTAATTAAAATAACACGACTTTGTTTAAACTATTTGATAACGGAGAAAATTAATGTAATGAAGAATCTCACGTAAAAGGAATTACACTGTTTTCTGTTACAAATTGTGATAAAGCTAATTGCTAGCCGCTTTCGCTAATTGGTTCGATTGTTGTTAAGTTTGTTAACTGTAATTGTAATTTGTTAAGGATCTACGTAGCTAATTGTACAAAAAGTTTTCTGCTACTAGAACTTATTGTTTGAGAAATCTGAAAGGTAGTTTTATAATTCCGTACCCAAAGAGTAAAAGGTTTATTAAAACTCCGCTGTCCGTCCGTCAGTTTGTCTGTCCGTCTATCACACACCTACATATTGTTGGTATATCGATACTATTTGAACTAAAACTATATTTTCAATCCAGCAAAACAAAGAGAAGAGCAAACTTATTATATTGTAGTAATATGCTAAATGGCTTATGGAACTATACATCAGTTCGCGACGGTGTCAGGATTCCGGGTTGAAATTGAGTCAGCTATGCAGATTTTGAATTCTTTTGAAGAATTTTAATGAAATGAAATATTTATTACCTTTTGAAGAAGGTTTTATTTGTTTTATTACTTAATTTAATTTCCTAATAGGTCTAAGGTACATATTTTAGGACAGAGCGATATTAAGTTCGGATAGCGATTTCGGTTTAAAGTCATAGCTATTAAAAAAACATTTTTATAATATTTTTGTTTTATTATTTACGTATTTAAACAAAGCTTTTGCTTGTTACAGTTTTCAGTTTTAAAAAAACTAACAAAAAAAATAAAACTGAAATATACCAAAATTTTGTGTTTCGCTAGCCTCATTTAAAAAGTGTTTTATATATATTTTTAATGAGGTTTTAATTTGAATTTATGACTTTTCATTAAGTGCCTTGTGTGTACGTATTTTTAAATATATATTTTCCTCATACTTTATCTCTTAATTTACTACAAAGCGTGGATGCTCCTGCTGTGATAACAATATAAATAATACAAAACAAAAGAATATTATTAAAACATATAGCTATGGCCAGATTCTTAGCTAGACGTTGACGCGGTCGCTAACCTGGTAGGTAATTATTCTAAAGAAATATTATAAGGGCAGAACAATGTCCGGTGTAATAATTAAGTCAGCTTTTTAACTTTTCAAAAATATGTATACGTAATATAATATTGTTTATAAATTGTTACATAACTAATTCAACAGTGCTGGGCTCAATGAGTTAGATTTATGCCATGATTCGTTTTATTTAAATAGAAATTGACAATTCTTATGTCATCTTCACAATATCAATGCATAGACACGAAACCATTTTGTAATACATGAAAATATTTTAAGATTTCTTTTTATAACTTAAAGAACACAAACATTGACTCGCAGGCGTAAAATATAAAAGTTTAAAAATAAACTAAAACATTATCAACAATCATATCTTTTAAAATTTATTGCCCCGAATTAGTTGAATAATATATTAACATAAAACCGAAAATAAATATATCGAGGACTATATACATTACGAGCTGTATCATATATATACAAGTCACCTACCTTCTAATATTCACACTGGATATGTAATAACTGGTACCTATCAAGTCTTTATTACGAAGCTTTTATTAAAACTAATGATAATTAACGTTTCACTTTAACTTCAAAGCAAAGGAACAGTTCACAAAATGCCTGTAAGTTCACTCTTCGTTAGCCTCTTATGCGGTCACTTTCACGTATTAAGAAGTGATTCTATACTGAAAGGGTTATGTTTTCTCGCGCCACCGTTTTTTGTTAAGTCTTGTTCTGTCGCCGTGCCACCACCGGATAGATCTAAAGACACCGCTCGACTCGGGTCGAAGTCGAACTTGTCGAAGTGCGTGGCGGGGTTGCCGAACTGTTTGAAGAACGAAGGTTGCGGATCTGGAAGCGGACTGAAGTTGCGGCCGGAGTGCGCGTCCGATGTGGAGCTGTCCGAGTTGTTGATGCCGTCCGCGGTGGGCGCCCTCAAGCGTCCGGACAACGAGAAGTCTTCTGGGCCGGAGTCGTGACACGAATCCCCTCCTACCACGTCGATCATGCACTCCTCACCGTCGCCATCTGAATCGGAGTACAGGCCGGTGTTCCGGTGCTGTGCCAAGTATTCCGCCTTAAGAGCTTCCAGGTCGACGGCGATGCCTTTAGCCCGTAGCTTCCTCGCTTGCCTATCGAGCGCTTTTGCCAGCTTCTTTCTTCTTCTCGCCCTGTTGATAAAATCATAGGGCCCCATTAGTATAGAACCTAATAATAAAGCTACTTAATACGATTTAAAATTAATCTAACTCTTTTAAAATGATTCAACAAATAACACAGATTTATTAACCTTAACATGGGAAGTTAAGAGGACATAAAAACAACTCTAAGTAAGTGATTTTTATTTAAGAAATTAATACTAAATTTTAAAAATAATAATTATTACTTTGAGAGAGAGAGGGAAAGAAAGAGAGAATTAACAAGAAGCGATAATAGACGGTTTTCATGGCTTTTTTCATTTTCTCTAAAACTTTAAAAAACGTCGTGAATAATGCTTATCTCAAAAGCGACTTTTAAAAAAATACTATTGAAGTCAGGCTGGCGCGGCAGAAGTCTTTTTTTTTATTTTAATTTTATGCTTTTTAGTGATATTGATATTTTTTATATTATAGGAACCTAACACTAAAAAACTTAACCGCAGAGCTTATTCTGTTGATTTTTGAGGACTTCCCTGGAATATCTTCCATATCGATGACCAGACTTTAACCAAATTTCTATGGGACCACACAGACAATCTACTCTTTTTAATGAAATGAAAAGGAATGTTTCAAATCGGTCTATAAATACTGGAGATATGCGGTAACATACATTAACGGTCCAATTAAAAGGTTTAAAAATAATTTGGGGCGGTAAATTAGAAAATTCGAAATAGTTTCAGACTCAGGACACTTAAGTTGCTAACGTAAGTTTTCTAGGCGTGTCGTGCACGGTTTGGTTTGTAAGTTCCTCACCTCTCGCGGGCGCGCAGCTCGTGTGGTGGGATCGGTTCCCCGGAGCAGGACTGGGGGTGAGCGTTGTGTGCCGGCCGACCTGGACCTTTCTTTGTGTGCTCTTTCTTACGCCATTTCGCACGTCGGTTTTGGAACCATACCTGTAGAAGTGATCGTAATTATATTATTTATATTTGTAATTGTATGTGTAAATTATAGCCTATGGCACCTAGGTAGTGTAGCTGTACTTGTAGGTGAAACATTTTTTTAATTGATCTAGTAGTATTAGAAGCAAATTAACAATCGAATGTTTCCTCTTTATAACATTAGTAAAGAATTCCATCACAGGCCAGTTCGACTATAATGAACCATTTATACTAGGCCAGTAGCTAAGACAGTACAGTCAATTCGTTCAATATTGCCTTCATGTAAATGGAACAATGAAATTGTACATTTAGTGCCTTTTTATAGATTTACATTGAAAACGTGTTAATTTGTATCTCGTATGAAGTAATTATATGAGTGCATATTATAATTATAATTACGTACGTCTGTTAAAACCTCATAAGGTTTTATGATGGACTAGAATCGATAAAACGAGACACAATAAGCAAAACGAATGTAAATGACAAACCATAAATTAAGGAAGACCATTACAGATCATTACTTATTTATGTTTCATATAAGTTGGTGCATGATTTAAAGCGGTAAAAGGAGTATTCAGTCTATCTCTTTTATACATTATACAAGCTTTTCGCTAGCGGCTTCGCCCGCGTGGTCTTGTATTATACATAAAAACCTTCTTTTTGAATCAGCCTATCTATGATATAAAACCGCATCAAAATCCATTGCGTAGTTTTAAAGATTTAAGTATACATAGGGTTATAGGGACAGAGAAAGCGATTTTATTTTATACTATGTAGTGATCTATAGTTGTCACTTTTCCTAAAGCACAGTCGCCGAACAGAATTTCAAACGTTGTTGACATTTTGATTCGCTTTAGGTAATTTGACAAAATCTAATAGATACATCTATGAGAGAGCAATATTAATATATCTGCGCAAGAGTGAAAGATTTATGTAATGCCGGGCTATTGTACGAATTTCTCTCTACACTACGAAAAATATACTATAATTGACTCATAATGAAAAAAAGAAATAATTTAGATAAATTCAGTTTTAAGAATTGCTCCTCATTAAATAAAACCTAAACACCATATTTAGTTTTCTAGTTCCAAATTCTTTGAACATTATTTTTAAAAAAATAACCTCTCCAATTTATCCGCCTTAAACTGTAAGCTTCTAACAATTAACATATGGAATTAACAAAACACTATTAATTCATAATTCTATTTTCATGAATAGTATATTGTAGAAATTTGCATCTTGTACAATTTATTAGTGAGCATAGATGGTAGTTTTCTAGATGTATTATTATGTTGATAAGCGCGTGCGAAAGCATTCGTTGCGTTGGAGTAATAAATTATGAATTGATAAATATAAGATTAGAACCTCAGGTATTATAATACTATATTAGATTGCAACCATGCACCTTTAATAAAAATTAGGTCGCCAGTTTTCAGTTTTTATTTAAATTCAATACTAATTCATAATGATTATTTTATATTAAGTCCATCTGACAGATAATAGAAAAACATTAGTTTTTTTGCTACAATTTATCAAGAAATAGGCAAAGTTGAGAAGTGGGAGCTCGCTATATCACATTACAACTATGTATTAAATGTACAAAGGTACACATAGCGATATTTCAACTGAATATTACGGCAGTTTATTGATTACGCAAAAAAATAAAAAATACGTGTTTAATAGTTTTCAGTAATCTACCCAACGAAGGGAAACAAATATAAGTCATCATCTCTATTCCCAATTTTCATTTAGATTCAACATGAATAAAACTAAATCTGGGAGAGTAGTGAATATTATCTAACTTACACTACGTGTAACAGAAATAACACACATCCTTACACAACTCAGTGAGAAAATGCATTTATAATCATAAAACGAAAATTTGAATTTTACTTTTATGTACTAAAACACTGTTTACGTATGGACACAGTTATATTAATTGCTGGGTAAGTGTGGACATCTTTAATACACACAATAAAGTCAAAATTACGTCTTAGTCTGCAACTACAAATGTACCTATGCCTACCTACCGCGCAATACCACAATGATACCAATAAAAATTCTTGACATGAAATATTATTCTGTTTCGAGATTCAAAGTGTTTTTTATGTATTTTATCACAAACTAAGATTATACTGCATTTTAAAAAGTCTCATTACATTCACTTAAGTTTATTTTTTGCTTGTTACAGCCGTTTGTAATGATTACAGGTGGCCATAATTTACTTGATTCCAATTAAATTTAGCAAAAGAAATTGAATCAGTATCTGATTTTAAACAAAGTACTTTCAGGATGTGTGTCTATTGTGGTACACTTTGTATATATTGTAATAATTGATTTTAGATAAAAAATAACTATATGTGTGAAATAACTATAAGTGGAGTCCTTTTTGGTGTCAAATTATAAATTCTTTTATCAATATAGTAATAATAACATTTGTAATTAGGTGCATAGACATTTTTCCATTTAAATATTAAAACAAATGGTGGATAATAATTAAGTTAGATTTCCTTTTAAAATTTGAATTAAGAAATAACTGAAAGTTAAACAAATTTTAATTCACTTAAAATTAGCTCTTTATCGAAAGTGTTAGTTACGCGGCATTTCAAGGTGAAATGCATATGTGTAGGTACTTTAAACAATCTTTGTTTAAAGTACCTACACATATGCATTTACCTTGAAATGCCGTGAAATGCCAGTTGATTTGATCGACATATTTGAACGATACACCTACAAATACATGATATAAAAAATGCTAAGCCAAATTCTGTGCTTAAAGCCTATTTTGGCGCATTTTAAAAACTATTATAATTGTAAATCTTACTTGATGTGTTACACGTTCTGCAAAGACGACGTTTCTTTGCATGGCCTTTTATCGAATCAAATACGGATATTCTGCCATTTCCTATAATTGCGAGCCTAGTGCAGATTGGTGGATGATGTCACATGACTTAGTTTACAAACTTTACTACAGATAAGTAAAACGGTGCACGTCTGAGTGTTTACACAACACTCCAGTTGATTTTAAACTCTATTTACAAGGCATGAAGATTTAAAATCAAGTAGGAGAAATTTGACAGAATTGTATGTATAATAACCTGATGTACTTTTTAATGTACATTACATGTTCGTCTTTGGGTTACCAACTAACATGTCTGTTTGCGTACACTTTCGAATGCCGTCTTGTATTAAATTTCATCATAATCCAATACTTTCGGAGCAAATTAACTGTGATAAACGGACGGACAAACATGTATGATCCTATAAAAGCCCTGTTTTCTTCTCAAGACAATGAACTCTAAAAACAATTAGTAATAAAGTTTGCCTCTATTATTACAAGCTCGTGCAAAAATAAGGTCCGGTAAAATGTGTTTTGTTCTTGTGTCCTGTTCCGAAGCTCTCGTAATGTAGGCGAATTTTATGACTAACACATTCCAGTTTTACTGCAGAACATAATATTTAACGACCAACCCTGGATTAATATGGATTAATTTAATAAAATTAAACAAGACTGCTCCACTCGAGCGGACTCTTATAATTGCTAACATAAAGACAATTGCCCTGATCCATAAATTTATTGTTCGTAAATTATTAATATGTTTTTTTTTGTAGTGAATTTAAACTATAAAACGACGCGGCTTCTGCTCTTAGGAATACTTTTTATCGGCTAATGTTTTATATGGACTTTTCTGCCCTCAATAACGCTTTAATCGACTTTGTTTATTTAGAGGCTGCCTGTCCGCTACTTTGTATACTATTTGTTACCAAAAGTATCCAAAGTATAAAAATAACTTTTCATATACTTAGCTCGAAAACTTATTGCCTATACATTACCATCCTAATAATGTCCACAGTTGTGAGTTAACGACTGCAGAGGTACCCGGGATCAACGGCTTAACGTACCTTCCGAAGCACGGAGGATCAGATTACCAATTTTTGGTCATCCATCCTATGATCGGCCATTGTGAAAGTTGCATAACAACCGCAGCAGACCGAGTACTCTAAACACTACGCCGTCGAATTTCATTTACAATACTGCATCAATTATAAATATGTATCTAATTGCTCTCAAATACGTAGCGAATTAGTTCACTCAAGACCCTGAGGTTGTCACAGAAGACCAGAGATCTTCTGACACATCCGACAGATGCTGAGTGGCTGTCTTTAAGAGTTATAATTAAAACTAGCATGCTTAATTATACCGACCAAATACCGAAACAAACACTTACTTTCTTACTTCACGATGCAATTTACTACTCCGTTTTAAAGTATCGATGCCATAAGCACTTGGTCTCGATAGAAAAGTATCAAGTAAGTACTTGTATTTACTCGCATCGATGCATCCCTAGACGACCTGACATAAAAAAACGCGCTTTGCGCATTTTATTACTATGATAGTAATGTGATTTTGTTTGTTTTTTCTTGATATAAAACACTGTGTTTATCAAAAATATGAAATGTTAAATCATTTCTAATAAATAAAATATTTTTATTATTTAGTCGAAATAGGCAATTAATAGGAAATTAATTACAATCATACGAAATCGTAATAGT